ATGATGATAATAATAATAATAATAATAATAATAATAATAATAATAATAATAATAATAATAATAATAATAATAATAATAATAGAAAAGTTATGTTTTCAAAATTACTTTGAATTAACCAATATTAAACCAATGAAATCAATCTGTCTATAATAATAAATTTATTATACACGATAATTTATGATTAGATGACAATTATTAGTTCATGGCTTGTTTTCTCAATTTAAATTTGAAAAAAAAAATTATATCTTTTGATTGTGTTTTATTTTTTTTATTTTTGGACACTTAGCTCTTTTTTCTTTTTTTTTGAAGGGGACACTTAGCTCTTATATCCTTAATCCTTGAGTAATGAACCAATGATTATCATAATATAGAAGTTTTTGGCTCAATATCCACTTAAGTACGTGGTTAATTATGTGTGTTTTAAGTAGTTAGTGTGTGTCTTTTTGTGTGAGATTTTTGTTTTTAAAGTAGTTAGTGTGTATGTGAGAGAATTTTATTTTTTTAAGTAGTTAACTATAAAACATTTCAATAACTTCATAAACTACTAAGGAGTAAAATAAAATTAACTATTTATAGACATTTTAATAACTTCACATCGTTATTCACCACACATTGATAATTGTTACGATTAGGTTGGTTTACTTTTAACTATTCATAAAACAAAGTTAATTGTATCTATATCTATATATATATATATATATTAGTTAATTACGTGTGATTGTGAGTAACTTTATAGCACTTTTAACAATTTACGAAACAAAATTCATCATGCATACTTATGTAATTAATCATGTATGATAATCAATAATCTCGTTATTAATCACTTGCGATGTAAAATTAACCGTTACTAAATATTTTAATAATACCATGAGTCATAATATTATTAACTATAATAACATATATGTATAATAATTTATATAACTATTATTTTTTTAAGTATGTTTCTCTCTATCATTAATAAATGTAAGAAATGATATGATAAACATATATAATTATAAATTCTAAAAAAATATAATTTACAAATTTATTAAACAAGTATGAAGTGTTATTTTCCTTAACTATATATTGATATTCAAAGTTATTGTAGATTAGTACAGAATCTAGTTGAAGTTTGTGTTCTTTAAGATACGAGTTTGACATTCTCTAAGATTATAAAATTCTACTTTGGTGAATATATTTAGTAAAAGAGATTCCTTGGCGTTAGAAGTGAAACTTTTTTGGTATACTAACACTCAGTTCAACAAATAAAGTTTTGAGTCAAATTGGATATCATTACTGAGCTTTAGCTAATATTAAGTGGTGTTTAGTTTGAGAATCTCTAACATGTCATTATCTTTTTATCCGTTGGTTGTAGGTAGCGATGTTCAAAATCGAACTAATCCAAACGAAAAATCGCAAACTAATTCAAAAAAATTGAAAATTGATGAAAAATCACAAATTAGAGATTCAGATTGTTTTTCTTTTCCAAATTTGTGCAATTTGGTTCTATTTTTGAATTAAAATGTGAAATCGTTCCAAATTAAACAAAATCACACTTATTCGTAAATATGTATTTTTTTTTCATGCATGATACATGTATACAAATTTGACATATAACATAAAATGTGTTTTATAAAACTATAAACTACTAAAAGGTTTTTTCTCTCCAAATATATATTATAATACTTAAAAAGTATTTTTATAAAATTGTAAGTTGCTAAACTTGATTTTAAAATAAAAAATTATGAATTATTTTTCATGTTTAAAAATAATTTTTTAAATGATATTATATATGAGAAAAGAATATTTAATATGATAACTAAAATTGTATTAAATAAATATTTTTACTAAAATAATAAGATAAAAATTAATGTTAAATATATTAAATAACCGAAATATTTTATTATTTATATGTTTTTAATTTTATTTTTGGTGTACAATCTTAAACAAGTAACATAAAAGCACACAAAAAATTGATTTATAAATAACAAATTTTAAGAACCGCAAAAATTGAAGCAAACAAAACCAAAAATTTAGTTTGATTCAAATTTTTAATTCATTCAAATCGAACAAAACCGAATTACATTTAATTCTTTTATTCAATTTGGGTAATTTTTAATGCAAAAATCAAACTTAATCATAACACGAACTCTCATAATTTTTATAATTTCATTTATTTTATCTTTTAATTCTTATAGTTTAAAATATACATTCACAGTCATATGTTTATCTTTTTCAAACTTTTTAATTCTTATAATTTAAAATAAATATTTTTATTTTTTATACTTGCAATGTTTTAATCTTTTTAGTTTCTGCCTTTTTTTTAATTGTTGTCTCTTTATATTTGTAATGTTTTAATTTTTTGTCTTTGCCTTTTTTTTTATAATTATTATCTCTTTCATGTTGACGTATTAGGAAAATTAGATTTCTTGACACACTTTTGCATTTCTTTATTTCTTATACTTCTATTTTCTGTCTTTTTTACACTTTCACTTACAAGTGCACAGTTAAAATATTTGCTTTTACCCTTACAAAATTAGAAATTCCTACGCATCAACACAAAAAAAAAAGAAATATTAACTACAAGAATAAAATGATTAAAGGACTAAGAATAGACATAAAAAACCCTAGTTTTTAATATAAATAAATAAATAACTAAAATATATATTTTAAATTATAAGAATAAAAGGAAAAGTAATTAAACTATTGGAATTAAAATATAAAAAAAAACATTTTAACCGACATTCAATTAACCGCGTATTGAGTTTCTAGATCGACGACGACGACGGTCTGTTTCCTGGAAAGTAGGAACAGCGTGAAACCATCGACAGTGTGGTGGATTTGGTGAATTGGCAACGTAGGAGGAGCTTCATCGGAACACAGCACAGCCATGAATGCAAACATTCTGAGAAACTTGTCCTTCCACGCGCGCCGTCTTCGTCTCTCTCCCACTCCTCGCCTCTTCTCTTTCACCGCATCCACCTCTTTCTCTTCTCGATCCCACACCCCCGACACTCACAAACCCCACTCACTCGTCCAGGACATTACCAATGAAGGTAACCCATCTTCCTCAATTATCTCTCTATCGTCCTTCTTAATTACTTTCGTGTCCTTTACGTGTTTGATATAATGCTTCTGTTAACAAATATCTCAATACTAGGGTGTTAAAGGAATTTGCTAGAAAGCGTGGTGGTAACATTTTTGGTGTTATGAAGTGAGGGGTAATTGAATTGTTGACAGAACTAGATCACAGTCCAACTCATTGAATGTGTCAGTTAAGGTGTTAATACATTGCTTTCCAATTTTTATCGGATAAACACCAGGTCTCTGAAAGTTTATGTCCCTAGTAGTTTAGTCTCTGAAAGCATGAAAATTAAAATAAAAAAACTCAAAAAGTTTGAAATGATATTCACTGTAATCTGAAATTCAACAAAAAAAAAAAAAGAGTGTAATTTAATTGATAATATTGACATTTGTTTAGAGACCAAAAAGACAGTAAATGATTAAGTTTAAGGACTTAAATGAAACAATTGTAATTTTCAAGAACTTATTTAGATAGATATTCCTTCTTTTTAAGGACTAAAGTGTCAGCAATTTACACTTTCAGGAACTCGAATAGTGTTTTGCTCAATTTTGATCTTTTGACCCTGTGCTAAAAGAATTTTATTTTGTGTTTGTTTGGGTTAAAGAGTTGAAGAGGCGTGTGGAAAAGCTTAAAGAGGGTGATGCTGAGGCAATTCCTTCTGTGTTTGAGGCTATATTGCAGAGGTATTTAGCGGGGAAGCCTATAGAAGCTGACGATGAGTTGATGAGGGAAATTCTAGGGAAGGGGGCAGGGTCAGAAGATGAAGAGGACGAGTTCGACTCTGATTGGGAGGAAACAGATGACACTGATAATGAAGATGTTGATCTTGATTTTAAAGGCAGGTTTGGGGTTGATGAAGGAAAGAATAAGAGATGATTGAACTCTGCAAATGCAAGTGGCAATGGCTGTCAAGATTTTAAATCAACCTTGAATTGGTTGTGTATTACAGATAACAGGAGATGAATTGGACCGCTGGTGTTAAACTATATGGTTCTTGTTTTTTATGCTTTGGTTGTAGCGGTTTTTTATCTTCTTCTAACATTTTGTCATGGTAAGAAATTATGGTCAATCACTCAATCTCAATAAGAAACCGCATCATACATACTATGATACTGCAGCTGCTAATTAATTTTATACCTCTTATGATAGTTGTCGATGCTACTTCCACAATTTGTGGTGATCATAGCAAACTAGTATGACTACATTTTTTTTTCGGGGGGTTCTTGTAATTACCTTCTCATAGGAAAATCATATACTGTTTTACTAATGGAGACTTTATTGCCGGGGAGTTCAAATTGAAAATAAACTAAAATGATTTTGCAACTAGCAAAGGTAAAAAAGGAATATATTAAATTATGCTTTTTGACGATAGTTTTGGACAGAAGAATATTGGTCATTGAGGTATTAGTACGCTTACTATGGAAACTGGTTTTACTGTTAAAATTTATTGATTTTCCGAAGAGGATCCAAGTGCGTATGGTCATGAATTTGGTACACGTTGTACGGCTCTTTACATTTCATATCCATTATCACACGGTCTGCATAACGGTAAAGTCAACGACGCTAGTTCCACTTTCTTCAATTCATGTGTTGACAATTTATAGACCATTCAAACAAATCATACTATTGTATTTCCTGCAGTTTGCCACAAGATTTTAATGCCTACTTTTCATTCAAAAAGTACGTTATATTAAGCCATTATCTCAGGCAAAAACTGGGATTAAATAATCAGATTCAAGGATAAATGTTATCATAAACGAGGAAAGAGATACAAAATTCACTACCGATTCTGTTTACAGCCAGTTGGCCATCAGTTGAAATTCAAAACAATGTAAATAAGGAACCGGAAGATGTGTGTATACTCTATATCACGTCAATTTGTTTTCACATGTTTGAATGTAATAAATATGACCCGAATGCAACAAGACTTTGCCTCGCATGTCCCACCGCAAGCATCCCAAAAGCCCTTTCTTGAAATGAATGAGAAAGATTTCATCAGAGACCATAAAGCGGCAATGATATCCCAACCAACAACATATAATAAGTGCCTAGCTCATGTAGAAGGCTACATTGACTAATCAACATGAGAGCCCAAATAGTGAAGTTTGGTGCATGACTAAGCTAGCAATTTGCATGGGATCATGTACTAAGGTCTGATATTTTCAGTAGGAATCCAGGTGAATAAATAAATGGATTTCATTTTGATGCCAAAAGGGGAGATTGAGGGGGGGGGGGGGGGGGGGGGGGGGGAATACCACTT